AAATTTTTGATTATTGTTTTATACAATAAATGAGACAAGTGATATTTAAGGACATTCATAATCCTGCCTCCTTCTTTGAAGATCAAACAACCAGAGTTCTTGAGGTGCTTTAGCAAAATCAGAGTTGGAAATGACCTAAGAACTTCAAATGACTACTGGAGAAAATGAAACTGATTTTAGAAATTGTAATTTATTTTTTAAGTATATCATTCTAACACTTTAATAATAGCCTTCTTTTCAATAGAGCTCTGTAGGTACACTGTTACTTTCCACTGATGTTAGATATATAGGAAGAACATTAACTTTTCCAAGCCACTTAGGAACTCTTTAGAGTCTGGAACATCCTGAAGAACAATCATTTCCTGTAAATTTTTCTAGTTCATGACTTCTTAATAGTAATGTACAAAACATTAAAATGTTGTCCGGAAAAACTTCTTCACTCTCTTCCAAGATTTTAATGATCTTTAATCAGAGCAGTTTTCAGCTAAGATCATGTTATCGTTCTTTGTTTTTGTTCCATTGAAGAGAATGATTAACAGGCCATTCATTGTTCATCCATCAGCTATATTGTAATACATGCTAATTATTTAAAACATTATGTATTGTATAGTGCCAAGACAACACCAACCATTTCCTAAATAAATAAATTTACTTACTCACATTCATAGCTCATTACCTTGGTATAATAACAATTCAGCTGCTTTTCTCTCGTTGTTGAAGTATAGAACTTTTGTTTATCATATTTTAGGGAAAGTAAAACTACATTTATCCATTTTAAGTGTTGACTCTATTATTAAGTCGTTTAGTACTTAGATTTTTGGGGGTGGGAGTTGAGTTGTATATGTGAATATGTTAAATTCTAAATATGTTCAAAATGTATTCTTCTGAAATTTTATTTATTAAAAATATTTTTCATATTCTTTCTCACTGGCCAGATTTCTCATTTTTAAAAGCTTATGTCTATTTGTAATGGAAACCTGAGCTAATCCCAATGGTAAACATGCTCAGTGGCTTAGAAGTCAACAGAGAAATACATTTGATGAAAGCCTTGAGTAGATAGCAGAATCATCATTAATCACCATTAAACTAGAGCCTTTAGCTAATTTCTATTCTTTCTTTATATGAACTATTCCATTCAGTGTCCTTCTATTTAATGACTTTCTGCTTTAGGCATTGGAAATAAGCTTTTGCTATTGGCTAAGCATACTATTATGTATTTTGAATATATATTTTGAATATATTTTTCTCAAAAAGTCTTAAACTGGAGTGTATTCTTATCTTCCTAGTAAGAAGGCTAAAACTCATAGTTTAAATTAAATTAAGTTAAATCTTTGACTCTTAGGTGCTAAGAGACACACAAAGGTGAGGAAGATACTGTGCTGGCCTTCAGGAGTTTGTAGTCTAATGGGGGTTTGAAAATTAAACATGAACACGTTTACATACACATGCACACATCTATGTATGTATAGATAGATAGATATAGATATAGGGATAGATATAGAGATAGAGATAGGTATAGAGAGAGAGAGAGAGAGAGAGAGATAGACACAGCCCTATGACAAGAGGTCATGTGTGATGAATTACACACACTGTCTCTTGTCATAGGGCTGTGTGTGAATAAAAGGCATAAAACCTTTACACTATTATAATGCTGTGAAAAAAGGCATAAAACTACAATATGGGGAATCTTATCTTTCCTTAAATTTTGCATATCTAAAATTTTAGCTCAGCAAACTGGATGATCTGAGAAGTCTCCGATAAAGATATGCACAGTGCACACCATGCTAACCTGTCTTTTAAAAACTAAACAAATTAAAGCCTGTATGCAGCTATGAATCATAGCAACAAGACTAGACATCATGACAGACCTAAAAAGACAAAGCCTAGAGTAGACAAAATCAGAATCCTAACTACTGAAATTGAAAAGCCAAATAAGTAGTTAGGTTTCAGATATGAAAGAAAAGCAAATTGGACGAAAAGCAAATTGGACAAAAACCAATCAGGATAGCATGGGATGCATGAGTACCTAGTGGCTTTGGATGTCAGGATAAGGTTCTAAGACAAATATTAAAAATAAGACATGTTCTATGTCAGCCAAGAAGTGTCATATATTTCCTGCTGAGATAAAGATATTCTTCATCCTGCAGTTGGGAATCAGTATTTCCCTATTAGGTGATGGGATATGGATGAACCTGGCCAAATGGGGAAGGCGAAGCCTGAGGACGTACTAGGAGTCAATAGTAAAGTTGGGTTTAAAATTTTAATTTTGTTTTATAAACATGTTTTCTGAAGCAGATCTCTTGGATATATGTAAAAATAATTATGTTTTTGTAGCTTAGAATAGTCTTAATATATTTATTAAGTATTTCTACCTAATATTCTTTAGCTAAAGATATTCCTGAAATTTACGTAAGCCAGTATTTGGCTACTATTTAATCATCATCATCATCATTATCATTGTCATCATTTGTCATCACTTGTTTTGTGTCAGATATTGTGCTAAGTACTTTACACACATTATCTTGCTTAATCCTTGCAGCAAGCCTTGGAGATAGGCACAATTATTATCCATATTTTAACAGATGAAAAACTGAGACTCATAGAAGCAATTGATCCAAGATCACAAACCTAATAATCTATGTAGCCAGAATTCAAATGATTCAGTCCCATTCCAGAGCATTGGCTCTTAATGATTACATTATTGCCCTTACTACTGCCAGAGTTAAAACTTACAGTTTTCCATTTGAATTTAGATGATATAATAATCCCATGAGCAAAAACAAATAAGAAATATATTACCAAAACTGCTTTCATATTCAATAATAAATTACTTTAAAAGAAAGAATAGCAGCCGGTTTTCTTTTTTATTATAAATTATAAGAATCAGAGAAAAGTCCCCCATATGCAGTATAGTATCTATTGAACAATTTTATAGCTTTGAAAAATTTCTTAAAACTTTGATTTTCGTATGAATAAATGCCCAAAAAACATATAAGTAAAATGAAATCTTTCCAAATATACCTTACCTTGAGATCACATTTACTTTCAATACATTTTGTGAAAAAATATATAGATATGTCATTTATTGTATTATATAGTATACAATATATTATTATATAGTGTACATATTGTATATATTATATAGACAGATATAACATGGATAATGTTGATACCATTCATTTAAATGCTATTCTAGGCAATGGCTTTCATCATTGTCATTTAAGGCAAAATGGTATTTTAAAATGACTTTATTTGAAAAATAATATTATGATCTAAATTGTCTTTGAATAAATGCACTGTATATTAATAATGTTTCTTTTAAAATTAAACCCTCTGGCTCTATTTAAATAGATATTTCCTGGGAAAAGGCAGCAATTTTTAGAAGAATTTAATTGTATGCTTTTTGATAATTGAGAGTTTATCTAACAAGATAGAAAGTTAAAGTGGACTAAGAAAGGCTAATTCTCACCTAATTTGAATATATGTTGCTAGATTAATGGATTTAACTAAAATTTTATGGAGCCTTAGAAATAATTTCTTTACGTTAGAAGAAGAGTCAACTTTTAAAATGGATAGCTAGATACTGAGAGGTTTTGGAAAAAAAATATCAACAGATAACTTATATCGAATTTACTGTTTATGCTCTGTTGCCACTCAATTTATCTTGGTCAAAATGTTTATATCTATCTAATACTTGCAATGAATTGTCATTCGTGGGGGATTGTTTATTAGGTAATTATTCTCTAAGACATAGCAAGTGGTTGATATAAAATAATCATCTTTCTAAGGCTTTATGGAATTTGCTAATATCTGTGATTAGAAAATTCTCCTTTGCAAAATTAACTAGTTAAGAGTGTGTCAGCATTAAGTTTGAGGCACATCTAAACAAATCAAAATCAATTAGCAGATAATCTCTTAACCCAATAATAGTCATATTTGATGTTTATAGTAAGAATACTGTTGTATCACCAAGTTGTAATAATACCGTAATACTACAGGCTACATTTACTTACATTATGCCAGATATCACATATGTCTTAGTTCTAGGCCTTGCAAAAAAAAAGATGATATTATCCATTTTTTTATAAGAAGCCTTTTACAGATTAAATGATTTGCTCAGATTTAGTCAACTAGTGAGAGTTTTTCTTACTTCAGGTTTCCAGACTCCAAAGTCTATCCTTTTTACATCTCAACAAGACGACTCTTAGCAAATGATTTTTTTGTTGTCAGAATAAAGTTAAATTTTGTCCATTAGTTTTTACATTAAATGTATTTTATGAGACTAGGTCATTAACGTAAAGCATTTACGATGGTTTTTAATTTACCAGAATATTTGAACACCCAAGAATACCCTGCAACCCTGGCTATGCCAGTTAACTATGTGATTATTTCAATTCCAGGAAGTTTGAACTATTGTAAATAATAATGACTTTTTCTAGTATTTCTAGGATTCATCAAAATCCAGCAGCCACTTTGAAATTAAACTTTCTCTTTTCTCTTGGCTTTTCTAAAAACGTTAATGGTTGAATAATTAGATTTTATATTATCTCTAGGTTTTCAGTGAAGCATAATGAATTAATTGATGGCTACTAGAATTAGTTTCTATAAGTGATAATGGCAGCTTTATTATACTTGGAATTTTAAAAAAATTTTATTAAAAAATAAAAAAAATTATACTTCCTAATATTAAGCCAAATGCTCATTTCCCAGATCTTACCTAAATGTTCTTTCCTGAGGCCAGCGCTGTTTTGAAACTATTTTAATGGCCTTCATTGGGGTGTGGTAAAAACATTCTAATTACTTTGCTGAAAACAAAGGTTTCATATAAATTGAATTTTTCTTTTAGGATAATTGCCATTCACTTTTGTTTTATATGCAACTGAGTGGGATTTTGCAGTTTCCTCTGTGGACAATGAAAGTGCTGAAATAGGAGAAAGCTAATAATTGCTTTGTGTGGTAATACTGACAACTTCTGCGTATTTGTCAATCTGTGTTAACAGTATCGATCAGGATGGGATCCTCATAGAGGGGCAGATAATGTTTCTACTAAATCTTCGGACAGTGATGTAAGTGATATATCTGCGGTTTCAAGGACTAGTAGTGCTTCTCGTTTCAGCAGCACAAGCTACATGTCTGTCCAATCAGAACGCCCAAGAGGAAACAAGAAAATCAGGTGAGTAAGGGGATTTCAACAACAAACTTCTCCAAATATGTTTTAGAAGGTCTTTGTGTTTCTTGGATGAACATAAAATTATATATTTCTAAAAGGTTAATATCTATTTTAAAGCGAGGGGAGCTCAATTTCAGTACATACTACTTTTTAATATATTTTAACACATTTTGGACTTCTTGCACCGAAAAAAAAATGTTATGGAACTGTGGATAATTTTGCTTACTAGATCACTGGAAATAATACCTTTTTTCATGTTTGTAATTTAAAAATTAAGACCTTTTATTACATCTTTACTGAAATAAAAGTGATGGCTGAGACTTGAATTTTTCATGTTCCAAGGAACATGAAAATAATTTATTTTGTTATTAGAAAACATAAGAATAATACTTTTTCAGTGGTATGCTTTCCCGTCCACTTGAATTTTTTATGTATTCATAGAAAAAGTCATCTTCTCAAGAAAATTTATGCATGTAGTATATAAGTTAGTATAATTTGCGTTTCTTACTTGTCCTATAGATTTTATAGATGCCTAAGCTAAATTTTGTTTTACTCTTATTGGATTAAAAAATTTATAATAGGGAGATCACAGCTTTTACCTTTTTTCATGTAATTTTGTAAAAGGAAAATGATTTTAAAACTATTACAATTAAGTGCTATTTATACAGTGCTTCTCTGGTATACACTGAAGTAAGTTTTCAATATTTAAAAGATATAATTTTTACTTATGTTTTGATAGTTTTATTACCTTTCTGTTTAATTTCATAAGTGTTTTTTCTTGACTTTCTTTTTTTGTGTGTTTATTTGCATGCCTTCAATTTGTGTTGCTTTCAAAAGACCAAAGGGAATAGAAGAGGGAGGGAAAGAAGGGGATAAGCATGAAGAGATAGTTCATGAGAAGGAAGAGGTAAAGGAAGAAAGAATTAATGAGAATGAGAAAGGGAAAGAGATTGCCAAAATGTGTAATAAGGAGAAAAACAGAGAATCAGGAGACGAGGAAAAAACACAAGATATACCCGAGCAAGGGAAAGAAAAAGAACAGTGGAATAAAGAGGATTTGCAAAGGAGATTCTCACAAGATGATACCAGGTAAAATATGTTATTTGTAGGCATTTCCCATTAGTAATGTAGTCTTTTTTACTATTCCTAAAAATTATTTTGCCATTTACATTTGCTTTATTTTCTTGTGTTTTATCTATTTTGCTTCTAATAATACTAATTAATATGTTGATAAACTATTATCAAATAGATTGATTTATTAAACAGTCTTGAATTTGTATCCACTAGCTCTGAGAGTCTGATTTATTTGGTTCCCAAGTTCGTTATGAGTAGCTGAATCAAATGTAAATTTCCCTGTGTCTCTTTTAACATGAATTACTGTATATCTTCTTTATCTGTAAGGTCTAATAAAGATCATTGAAAAGAGAAACTTGAAAATTCTTTACCAATATTGAAAACTGCTTCAGATAAAAATAAGGCAAAGTTCTTTAAAATGAACTTCTGAAGTGGCTGAAAAAAATTGAACTTACTTTACAAGAAATATTATGTCCTAGAAACAAACTTCAAAAATGAATGAGAAAACAGGTAGCGAACAGTAGACTTTATTCTGGCTCTGGTTCCCTTGCTGCTTCTTAGTTTTCTGGTAGGTTCTAGTGCAGTTTCAGTCCTGCAGAAGATTACAAAGCAGGAGCAATGTTTTTTAATACTCTGAAAAGAAAGAATAGATACCTTAGGGTTTATTAGAAGGCAAACATGGGTTGTGCTTTTCTTAAACTCGTGCCATTAGATAAATTTCTGCAGAGGGAACTTTGAACAGGGAGAAAGGCAGGGAAAAAATACAGGCAGCATGGCATAAAAACAACTGTATTTTAATTTTCATAGCACAAGCCAGTAAGTAAGTATGAAGCTATCTTTACAGTATTATATGTATTACATACAGTCAACTTAGCACAAGTGTGCAGTAAGACTTTATCCTTCTGCTTGAGGATATGAGGTTGTTCTAATTACATTTATATGAGACTGAAAATTGTAAATTATGTACATTTTGGAGGGATTGAATTTTCTAGTAGTCCAGAATTTGATTTTGTGTTAGTACAAATCCTGCTCAATAAAAGCACACCTTATTTATAAGCAAGATTTTGCCTTATTATATCTAAGCCCAATCTAAAATTGTGCTTTTCTCACTTTTCTCACAGTGAGACAGATAATTGGGATAGATCTCTACCCATTGAGTATACAATTCAGTGATTTAGCCAGTGTCCCTTCACTTGTTATCTTAGATATATTTAACTGTATTTGTGCTCTATGACAGTTTCTCTATAACAGGCATTAAACATAAAAATGAATCTTAAGGCATATTTTATTATTTGAGTCTAAATTAGTAATTTCAAATCTGTCTTTGGTATTCATCTAACTTTTGATAATTACATTGGTTTACTAATAAAGATGACCATTTTTCTGATTTGTTGGGCATAGGATTATTTCATCACTAATTCACAGAGAAAAGCTTTCCAAGGTGTCCTTGGAAAGATACATAGAGCTTCCTTTCTTCCAAGAGCAAAGAAAAGAATGAGTCTCTAATGTGTTTTCTACATACTGTATAGATGAGAACACATGAGTCCATTGGTGTTTGCCCGGAGCCCAGATCCCACACTGCCATACCTGGCTTGCTGGGCAGAGATTCAGAGACGACTATAACCTTAAGTTTCTGGTTTTTAAATAGTACTTGCTTCATTATTTCTTCAAAAAAAGAGCACATTATTTTCCAAGGAAAAGGGAAAGATGGTATATTCTAGAAATGCAGTTCATCAAAGCACTACACTTAGCTTAAGTAACTGTGTAATACTTCTGGAACTGTAAACTAGAGGAGACCATGTTGATCTCTGTAGGGAACATATATCCTGGAACATGGCAAGAAGTATCAACGGCAGTTGTTTATAAGGAAATATTGGGGCCAGGTGCAGTGGCTCACGCCTGTAATCCCAGCACTTTGGGAGGCTGAGGTGGGAGGATCATGAGGCCAGGAGATCAAGGCCATCCTGGCCAACATGGTGAAACCCCGTCTCTACTAAAAATACAAAAATTAGCTGGGCATGGTGGTGTGTGCCCATATTCCCAGCTACTCAGGAGGCTGAGGCGGGAGAATCGCTTGAACCCAGGAGGTGGAGGTTGCAGTGAGCCGAGATCATGCCACTGCAGTCCAGCCTGGTGACAGAGCGAGACTCCATCCCCAAAAGAGAAAAAGAAAATGTTGGTAGCACTCATTAATCATTTCAACATAGGCTTTTGAATTTGCTTTTACTTCTTAGAATAAATCTCTGTCTTTATTGTGAGAGAAAATATGTCTGAGTATGCCAAGCATCATTTTGTTTTGGTAGTTGATAAACACAATCATAGATTGTTTAAATATTAATAACAGCGTATGTTCTTATACAACATTATTGTAAATAATCTTATTCTATAATACAGGCTGAATAGTCCATATCTGAAATGCTTGGGACCAGACGTGTTTCCGAGTTTGGATTTTTTTCAGATTTTGAAATTTTTGCATATATATAATGAGATATATTGAGGATAGGACCCACGTGTAAACACTAAATTCATTTGTGTTTTATAAACACCTTATACACATAGCCTGAAGGTAATTTTATCCAGTATTTTTAATACTTTTGTGCATGAAACAAAGTTTGTCTGCATTGAACGATCAGAAGCAAGCAAAGACGTCTGTCTCAGTCACTCGTGGACAGTCTGTGGTTGTTTGGCATCATCGCCATTTCTGACTCTGAATTTCTGTGGTCCCAACCAATAGTCACTTTTTTGCACTTATTAACACATAAATACTTAACAGTAAAAAATATGACAAACTATTAATACAGTGAAAGGGCAATGTGTTCAGGGAACTAAGCAGCATAGTAGCATCACCGGAACACCTATATCAGCTGTTAAGCAATAGCAAAAAAAAAAAAAAAAAAAAAAAAAAAGGGCAGGCTTTCAGTCTCTCCCTACAATGTCATGTTGTGATTTAAAGGTTACTGTGCATTGTGGCACTCAGAAAGTTTTGGATTTTGGAGCAGTTAGGATTTCAGATTTTCAAATTAGGGAATGCTCAACCTATATATGATTGACATGTTTTATATTTTATTTGAAATCTGAATTTTATTAAGGGTGGTCCAAAAGTAATTGCAGCTTTTGCCATTACGTTTAATGGCCATTACTTTTAATGCCATTAATTTTAATGGCAGAAGCCGCAATTACTTTTGCACCAACCTAATATGAAGAAAAAAAACTTACCTCAAAGTTTAATATTTATAGCAATGCTAGTACTTACAATTAACACAGTAACTAAAATAAACAGAATCCATTGTAATTACTATTTTCATTAATTAGATCTAATTGTATGATACAGATCTTACTGCATAATTATGTTCATTTTATAGTAAGTCACATTATAGTAAGTCTACTGAATGTAAAAGGAGAAATGAATAGCAAAGAGTAAGTTCAAAAACAGTTTGTTAAGTGTTTGAATATAATATTTTTCCTGTTGAGTAATGAGTAATATATTTATACTTAGCTATATTTACAAATACATCAAAAAGAAAAATTTAACAAGTTTAGTGAAATTAAACATGTTGAAATTTCTAAGCCTGAGAGTGATGCTGTTTCTTAGCCGTGTGTGGATGGATGTTTGAGGATAGTTCCATATCCGAAGTGTCATCAGGATGGCCTTAACAAATTCATAAGAATATTTCATGAAATATTCAGAGAGAGGCAATCTTAAGTAATTTGCAATGGAAGATAGAAAAAAAAATACTGAAAAGCATAGTATTGTCAAAATCAACAATGTTGGTAACTTTGTGTTCAAACTAAAAATCAATAAATTATTTCTCTATATTCTTATGGTTCTCAGGCATATCTATAAATGCTATGGAATTATCATTACTCTTTTTTAAGAGAATTGCTCTTTTTAAGCTAGAGAATTTTTTAAGGAAAAATTTGTCATCAGTTCAAATTTTCATGAGTACCCAATTGTAAGAGACTTAAGCCATTTCAATTATCTAGCAAAAGATCTCATAATCTTTAGAAGGGCAAGCAGAACAATCGTTAATGAAACATTTACTCAGAATCATTGCGGCTAACATATTCTAGATCAGAGTTAGTGTGAAAACAGATTACATAACCATGTGATATAACTTTATATATACAGCCTATTTATGCCTATATTATAGAATTTTAAAGGGGAAGCAGAGGTCTCTTGAAAATAGTTGTGATTAGGACTCTAAAATATGAAGATTGTCATCCTGACTGCCGTATACACCTATCCATTTTGTGTGTCTAGGCTTTTTAGTTTGTTAAACAGAAGAATGGATTTTTCAATGATTCATGCACCTTTCCATAGCTTAGATGATAGTACGCAGCAAACAGGAAAGTGAGCATTGCCTTTTATACTGATGATTTGCCTTTATTATCATAAATTCAAGAGGTAATTGGTTCTTTGACCACTGGTACAACAAACAGCTGAACATAAGTTTCTACTATTTGGTAGATGTTTCCAGACAGTATTTAATATTCCATTCCAATATTCCATCAAGCTTAGCTGTTGTTTTTGTTTTTGTTTTTTTTAATTTTCTGGAAGTGTGTTTCAGTGCCAACTCATCCCAGAGGGTATGATGGGCTATGCTTCTCCACCAAGTATTATGTGTGGCTTGTACTTTCTTTTTTGTTGTTGTTTTCTTCTTTATCATTAAGGCTATCTTCTGTTTATCACCAATGAAAATCTTATAAGCTCAAGTAACTTCTACTCTGTTTTATGATTGTGCTTAATACTCAACTGGGAACTTTTTAAAAGTACTTGAACATCACTGCTAAAGTTATGGTTCTGCATTTTTAAAACACCACAGGTAATTATGATGCCAGTAGAGTGTAGGTGCTATTCCTCCTCTCTTTTTGGTTGCTTGTATTTCCTAATGAAATTTCAGTTCAACTTGTCAATTCAGGGGGAAAATTTCTGGGATTTTGATAGGGATTGTGTTCTGTTAGGTCAATTTTAGGATTGTTGCCATTTTAAGAATATTAAGTCTTCTAATCCATGA